ATGAGGGCTCCAAGGCCCGTTCCTCTGCATCCCCCTGTTGGAGCCAGGGATGGAATGGCGGTGAGAAGAATCGCCTTACCCAGATTGCACATACAGGAAGGGGAGAGACTTGTCATCCTATTTGCCACCAGCAACAACACAGCAGGAATCTGTTGTGTATCAAGTAGAAAGGCAAGCAAATCAATCAATGCTGCTCAAAGTTCCCAGGCAGACAGAGCTGCAGAGAGAGGTGAAGGACGGAGACCAGCTGGCTCCCGGAAGTACTACACTTCATCCTGGTACTGCTTGCTGGTGTGGGTTCAGTTTGTGAAAACTCAGCAAAGGCCAGTGTGTTGGCTCAACTGGCTAATCATCCACGTCCAAGCACAGGCATCCCATATGGGTGCCAACTCGTATCCCAGCTGCTCCATTTCCCATCCAGTTCTCTGCCTATGGCCCAGGAAAGCAGTCAAGGACAGCCAGCCCAAAGCCTTGAGACCCTGCATCCACTTGGGATTCTCAGAAGAAGCTCCTGGCTTCTAGCTTCAGATCAGCTCAACTCCAGCCATTGCAGCCATTTGGGGAGTGAGCCAGTGAAGGCAAGATCTTTCTTCCAATAAAGATAAATCTTAAAAAAAAAGAAAGAAAACTTAGCAAGCTATAAACCCAAGACCTCTGAGATGTGAAATGCTATTACTTGAGTTTGAAGTTGGAGCATGAGGCCCTGGCTTACAAGGAAGAAAGTTAGCTTTCCTTTGGGCCAATGGTCCAGCCAGTCTGACAGCAGGAGCAACAGCTCCCTGCACCCCGCTGTCCAAGCACATGAGTGGATAACTCTGTCTCTGGCAGTCCACATTCCAGCTAGCCAGGAGGGCCAGCCTGGGGGCAGCACATTCCTGTCAAGCTTGTGGGGGTAACACAGATCCCCTCCACTCAACGGTCCTGCCATGGCTTGTGCTTTTTGTATGTGCCCAGCCGAGTATGCAGTTCAGTTGGGCAGCCTGTCCCACAGAGCTGTGCCAATTGCAGAAAAACAAGCAGGAGGTGCCTACGTTTCTCATGACGAAGCCGCATCTGAATGTTTTCAACAGGCCACTGGAGAAGAGCTCAACTTTCTTTTCCCCAGTGTCAAGTGACCTCAATTCAATACATCACAGCTGATCCCTGAGCCAAAGTGAAGATCATTAACCATCAGTTATTTTCCTTAAATGCATTTAAATGATAAATATGTGAGTATAAATTAGGAAAAAGTTACATAAACAACAGAATGTATTTTAAAGGCTTTCCTGGAAAAAAGTCAACTGCCTCTGGAAAATTCCTTAATCACTACAGTGAAGTGTTCAGTGAATGGATTTTAGCAGTCTGCATCTAAGAAACAGAGAGTACCTCACTTGGCCTACCAGGCAGGAGAGGAAATGCTTTACTAACATTAGAATGTATTTATCAAGCCTGGTGCAATAGCTTAGCAGCTAAAATCCTCACCTTGCACGTGCCAGGATCCCATATGGGCACCGGTCCTAATCCTGGCAGCCCCACTTCCCATCCAGCTCCCTGCTTGTGACCTGGGAAAGCAGTCGAGGACAGCCCAAGGCCTTGGAACCCTGTACCTGCATGGGAGACCCTGAAGAAGCTCCTGACCCCTGGCTTTGGATCAGCTCGACTCTGGCTGTTGTGGCCATTTGGGGAGTGGATCAGTGGATGGATCTTTCTGTCTCTCTTCCTCTCTGTATATCTGACTTTCCAACAAAATAAATAAGTAAATAAATAAATAAATCTTTAAAAATAATGTATTCGGGCCCGGCGCGGTGGCGCAAGTGGTTAAAGGTCCTCGCCTTGCACGCCCAGGATCCCATATGGGCGCCGGTTCTAATCCCGGCAGCCCCGCTTCCCTTCCAGCTCCCTGCCTGTGGCCTGGGAAAGCAGTCGAGGACAGCCCAAAGCTTTGGGAACCTGCACCCGCGTGGGAGACCCGGAAGAGGCTCCTGGCTTTGGATTGGCATAGTATCGGCCCGTTGCGCTCACTTGGGGAGTGAATCATCGGATGGAAGATCTTCCTCTCTGTCTCTCCTCTCTGTATATCCGCCTTTCCAATAAAAAAATAATAAAAATAAATCTTTAAAAAAAAATAATGTATTCACCTATTTTCTTGTTAAATGTGCGCAAGTTGGGGCCAATATGATGCTCAATGAGCTGACACTCTGCCTACAGAGGCGGGCATCCCATATGGGTGTTGCTTTGCATCCCAGCTGCTCCACTTCCTATCCAGCTGCCTTCCTGTGGGAAAGCAGCAATTGCCCCAGTCCTTGGGATCCTGCATCCACGTGGGAGACCCAAAAGAAGTTCCTGGATCCTGGCTTTGGATTAGCTCGACTATAGCCATTGCAACTTATTGAGGAATGAACAAATGAATGAAAGATTTCCCTCTCCTTTTTTCTATAGCTCTGCTTTTTCAATAAAAATTTAAAAATAAATCTTAAAAATGTGTAAGGAAGGTATTCTGGTGTCAATGACACCTGCAGAGAGGGGTGGAATTCACAGGTAACAGAACCCTTCTAACTGTCCAGGGGCCTACTCTGTCCTCACATGAACCTTCCTGCCCCTTCTCATGGCACCCCCACTCCTGACCCTCCCTGGGATTCTCTCTCCCGCTGCCTTGTTCTAAGAGAGTGTCAGCTGCAGCGCTAATAATCCAGCATACGCTAGGAAATTCCAGGGGAATTCTTGTCTTTTTTTTTTTAAAGTTTATTTTTACTGGAACGGCAGATATACAGAGACGAGGAGAGACAGAGAGGAAGAGATGTCATCTGCTGGTTCACTCCCTAAGTAGCTGCTATGGCTGGAGCTGAGCTGATCCAAAGCCAGGAGCCAGGAGCTTTTTCTGGGTCTCCCACACTGATGTAGGGTCCCAAGGCTTTGGGCTATCCTCAACTGCTTTCCCAGGCACAAGCAGGGAAGTGGAACAGCCAGAATATGAACCAATGCCCGTGCTGGATCCCAGAAGGTGAGGACTTTAGCCACTAGGCTACCGCACCAGGTCCTCCTTGTATTCTTGTCCTCCCCTCCCCCCGCCCCCCGTGTTTAGGTGAGAATGCTGACATTTCATAAGATGCCCAAGATCATCCAGCTAAAGAGTGGAGATTCAAACTCAGGTGTGATTCTGTACCAGCTGACAGACACATTTTCTCTGCATCCTGGATGCACACAGGAGGCTTAAGCTGAAGGAGGAGGGGGACAAGGTGGACGATATAGCTGCAGGGATCAGGTACAGGTGAGGGCTGACGAGGAAACAGAGAGAATCCTTCTTGGGCTGGGCCCCAGTGCCCTGTGTGGGGGCTTGTCTGAGGGCAGGAGGTGCTCCACTGGCCAGGAGGAAGATGGTAGGTGAGAACGGAGTGGGCACTGACTGTTTGGGGGTCCCTCCTTCATTGGGGGGAGCAGCGGCTGGGGCACAGTTCACTTCCTCCATCTACTGTTGCCTGGATGTCCTTTTGTAATGGTGGAGCTCCCACTGCCTTATTCTGGCCATTGCCAAGAATCCACATGTAATTAAAAGAGGTGGGCCCGGCGTGGTGGCGCAAGTGGTTAAAGGTCCTCGCCTTGCCGCCCGGGATCCCATATGGGCGCCGGTTCTAATCCCGGCAGCCCCGCTTCCCTTCCAGCTCCCTGCCTGTGGCCTGGGAAAGCAGTCGAGGACGGCCCAAAGCTTTGGGACCCTGCACCAGCGTGGGAGACCCGGAAGAGGCTCCTGGCTTCGGATCGGCATAGCATCGGCCCGTTGCGCTCACTTGGGGAGTGAATCATCGGACGGAAGATCTTCCTCTCTGTCTCTCCTCTCTGTATATCCGCCTTTCCAATGAAAAAATAATAAAAATAAATCTTTAAAAAAAAAAAAAAAAAAAGAGGTATTTACAGTACAGATGAATTTTTAGCCTCTAACCACTGAGCTTCTCCATTTTCTTTTTCTAATTTTTTTAAAAAAAGATTTATTTTGAAAATTTTTTATTGGAAAGTCAGATCTACAAAGAGGAGAGACAGAAAGATCTTCCATCTGCTGGTTCACTCCCTAAGTGGTGATAAGGCCAGAGCTCAGCTGATCTAAAGCCAGGAGCCAGGAACTTCTTCCAGGTCTCCCAAGTGAACGCAGGGTCCCAAGGCTGTGGCCCGTCCTCTACTGCTGTCCCAGGTCACAAGCAGGTGTTGGAAAGAAAGTGGAGCAGCTAGGACATGAACCAGCACCAATGTGGGATTCCAGTGGTTCCAAGGTGAGGATTTAACCATGAGGCTATTGTGCTTTTCTCTCTCTCTTTTTTTTTTTTTTAAGATTTATTTACTTTTATTGGAACAGCAGATTTACAGAGAGAAGGACAGAAAGTGATCTTCCATCCATTGGCTCATTCCCCAAGTGGCCGCAATGGCCAGAGCCGAGACAACCTGAGACCAGGAGTCAGAAGCTTCTTCCAGAACTCCCACGTGTGTGCAGGGCTCCAAAGACTTGGGCCGTCCTCCACTGCTTTCCCAGGCCACGAGCAGGGAGCTGGACGGGAAGAGGAGCAACCATGAGTAGAAACGGCACCTGTACGGGATGCTGATACTTGAAAGGGGAGGATTAGCTAATGGAGCCATCAGGCTGGGCCCAAGCTGCTCCATTTTCTTATTCATTAAACTGGTTTATAACTCATTTAATTCTGCCCAATGCCCTTGAACTTGTCAGCCCCTGAAGCCATGTAAGTTCTTATTTGCATTCCACCTCAGTAGCACTGTTCCAGGAATGTGCCAGAAGGCAGGAGAAGGGGGTTTCCATTTCCTACTCTGTCACTCTGAGTGGAGCCAAGGCAGGCAGTGGTCATAGCTTAAGCTCATTGTTTACAACCCATTTCCTCCACGGAGTTCCCATCTCCAGTAACTTCAACCTCTTTTTTTTTTTTTTGGTAGAATAATAGACTTGGACCCTACATTCTGACTCAGACAGAGGACTGCCCCTCTAAATGCTTACAGATCAGTGTTTAGAGCAACACTTTTTTTTTTGGATGGGTAATTCCAAAACTGGAAGCAGCGTGTTGAACTTAACTCTGGTTGAGAACCTTAGGTTTAGTTTAGACTCGATCGTGCAGCACAGGATCTATCACAGCCTTTACTGCTGATCTAACTCCCAAGCAGACGTAAGCCAAGGCCAGCAGCTCTCCATCTGCTGTCCCTGAGACCATGCAGGAGGACACAAAGCCACACTGAGGAGGGTGGGCCATGATTTGATATTTCCCATGGGGACACTCGTCCTCAGAACACGGCTACTTCTCGCAGCCCCAGTTCTCGGCTGTAGTCCAGTTCAAGTAAGTGAATTCCTCGGTTGAAACTTGCACACAGTAAGGAGACAGGATCACCAACAGCCAGGGAAGTCAAGGGCCCTGATCCGTCCAGAGCCAAGGTGAAAAGGCAGGCTAGGGAAGCAAGCAGAACCAACAGATTAGGTCCACAGTGCAACACATCACCTGTCGCTTAGCAAGGGGGCCACATTTTGGGAAAAGAATCAATTGGTGGTTTTCTTATTGTGGGAATATCATGGAATGCGCTAACATAAAAACCTGGGTAGACTACTACACATCTAGGCTAGACATAAATGCCTAGATCATTTCTGGGGTTGACTAAAATGCCATCACATAATGCAAGGCTTTATTATGAAACAGTTTAGAGAGCCACGCAGAAAAATAAAAATAAAGCATGTGTTGCATGCGAGTGTATATAACCATGTGAGAGAGGCCCTGTATACTCAGAGGAAAGTGTACAGTATGGGAGTCAGAACTTGGGTCAACTCCAAAGCGCCTACTGTAGTGGTGGCACCCAGATCAAACAGGCTCCCTCCCACACAAGGGGCATGCTAAAAAGCTGCCCTCAGATTCTGGCCCAGAGAACAGGCAGGAACCAAGACAGGAAGAGGAGCTAAGGAGATTGGCCTGCAGCTGCTGCCTTTCTTCCAGAAACAAGATGGGGGTTACCTGGAGGGCACTCTCTGGGGAGGTGCCGGTTGACTCCGTCTCCTCCCACCTTGCACTTGAGAGATTGGCCTTCTAAGAACCTCAGGTGCACACTCAGTTGGCAGGGCAGTTAAGCCACCCAGCCACGTCCACAAGCATTAAGAACTGAGTTCCTGAAGGGTTGTTGTAGGTTCTCTACCTTAATGCCATCCCCGGCTCTCACATAACCCTGTGCCATGGGGGTGGTGGGTGCTGGCGATCCAGGCTTCGGGATGGGACAAAGAAGCATTTACTCAAGCACCTTGTGGTGTTAGTACTCCCGCCATGACCATATCTGAAGCTAATGAAGGTTTTCAAAAACTCCCTGAATAGGTCATGACTAGCCAGTAGGCACTGGCTCCGGTAGAATTGTGGGGGGGTCCCTTCCACCAGACACTGTTTCTCCTGGTGCCCTCAAATGTCATGACCTGACCAGTCGAGTAGTAAAGCTCAACTACAGGTTCAGAACAGGGCTGGGTCTGAGCTGAGCCTCACTCCCTCTCACGCACCAAGAGCTCTCATTTGAGTCCCTGAAAAGGGAACTCCAAAGTGGGAACTCTTAGTCCCTGTTTCACACATTTTGAGTGTCACAAGTTCAAACCTGATGAGATTCAGTCAGGGACAGTGTAAAACTCAATCTATTTGCGCGCTTCAGAATGTGTCCATACATCATGGCACTGGGGTATATGCAGCAGCGATGGCTTCTAGCCCAAGGTTGAACGAGAGATTCGGACCTCCTGGCAGTAACTCTTAATCTAAAGGACTGGGAGGCAGCAGGACACGGGCAGCTTTGTACATGTGAAGCAGCAGGAAGACGCCCGTTACATCTTCTCAGAAGCACTGGCAGCAGGCTCCTTACCCCCAGTATCTTGGTTCCAAATCTTCACCTTGCAATCATGTGATGAGGTAGCAATTACAGGCATCAAGGCCCATGCTCTTGGCAGAAAGACACAGGAAGCAACAGTCTGGAAATGTCCCTTATATTCACAGATTTTGTTCCGCGTCTGCCTTAGGTCCCACAACTGCAAAGCAACACATGTAAGTTCAAGATACATGCCTGGTGTCATGCAGGCGTCATTCGCTAACAGCCACATGCCCTGCATCCCATGATCTCTCCATCCCCTCTACTTGCCTGCTCCTATTGCTTGATTGAACCCCTCCTCTTTTCCATCCCATACACCCAATCATTTACTCATCCAGTGCTTACTTTAGCATCAACTGAATCCCAAAGAGCCCTGGCAAAGGATATGATCCATGGGTTGCTGCCTGTGCCATGGTGGGGTAGTAACAGTCCCGTGGCCTATGACATGGTAGCATAAGCCTTTCCTCCCATGACAATTCAGGAGCTGCCTTAAATTAGCCTCATGGCATCTTTGGGGACCCCAAGGTTAGGAGCACCATCTCCTAAGCACACAGAAGTACTGACATTCCATTTCACACCTAATGCCTTCAGTGACCATCCTGCCAGGTTCACTCTTATTGATCCAGATCAGATCACACTTGCAGAATGATGGTCATGAAATTGTGTCCAAAAAAATCATGAAGCCACTGGATATCGTGTCCCACAAGGAATGCGGGCAGGAGCTAGAAATGCTTACCCTGGAAAACAGGTACAAATGGAGCACACAAGTCCCAACCTACCACTTGCAAGAGATTTCAACTTATTGTGCCTCTCATTCCTCATCTGTAAAGTGGGAATTACAATAGAACATAATTCTCAGGGTTAATGTGCATGTAACATGCTCAGCTGAGTATCTGGCACATAAATGGAAGACATAAATAGAAGGCCACCAGACCATCCCATTACCTAATGCTCCACCAGTGCGGATCTGAAGTGCTATGCAGCAGCCTAGGCGACTCAATCTGGAAAGTGAACTGCAAGGAAAGTGTAAACTCGCAGATGGGGAGGGCCCTGGACCAGCACAGGTGCTCCCGTTTCCTGCAGGATGGGAGTGAGTCTGGGTCTTCAAGCCCTTCTAAGCTCTGTTAGGAGAAGGGCCATGAGCAAACTGGCTGTGCGCTTAGTGTCTCCCCGTCTTTACTTCCCCCATTCTTCTAGTCTACCACCAGTCCAGAAAGCCTTGTTTCTGGAAGGATTTCATATGCAAAGGCTCACTCACAGCAGGGGTCTTAAATAGGCTCTTGAGCTGTCAGAGCCTTGCCCACGGAGCTCTCCCGATTGCCCAGGGAGTCATTTGTTCAATGGTGACCCCGCTGTCTGCACCCACCCATTCTCTCACCGTGGCTTCACAGCCATCCCCTCCAAAGCCGTTGCTGCAGGAGACACACTGGTGTCCGTCCACACTGACCTCACAGTAGGTCTGAATGTGCTGCTTGGCTGGAAACATGTGAGCAATCTTCAGCCCTCGACTGTCCCACAATCTGAAAGAAGTTAGAGCAGAAATGAGTTTGTTGGAAGTGTCTGAAATACAATTGCAATATCCCACTCACAGGGAAGCCTTGGTACTCAGCTGTCCAGGCCAGCCACAGTGGAATGTCATGATTTACCAACACAGAGCATCACAAAGGGGTTGGTGCAATGGTTCAACTGGGTAATCCTCTGCTTCCAAACACTGGCGTTTTATATGCGCGCTGGTTGATGTCCCAGCTGCTCCACCCCACTTCCCTTCCAGATTCCTGTTCGTGGTCTAGGAAAGCAGTGCAGGATGGCCCAAAGCCTTGGGACCCTGCACCCGCATGGGAGACTCCTAGCTTCAGAAACGCTCTGCTCCAGCCATTGCAGCCATTTCGGGAGTGAACCAGCAAATGGAAGATATTTTTCTCTGTCTCTCCTTCTCTCTGTAAATCTGCCTTTCCAATAAAAACTACACACACACACACACACACACACACACAAGAGCAGCACAAACCAGACCAGTGTCTGAGGCCTAAAGTTATTAAGGGGGCAATCAACGTGGAAGACATCTGAGTTCTTCATATTTTGAGGTCAGTTAATACGAATTTAGATCAAGCACTGTAATTATACAGGTTAATTTATTAATTTAGTCCTTTGGGACACTTCTTTCAGGAGTCAAGAAGATATATCTGTGCCGATGACAAGATTTTTTTAAAAAGATATAATTGTTTGAAAGGCGGAGTTACAGACAGGAAGAAGCAGAGAGATCATCCATCCACTGATTCACTTCCTAAACAGCTATAATAGCCAGAGCTGGGTTAGGCCATGGCCAAGAGCAAGGAGCTTCCTCTGGGTCTCTCAAGCATTTGCGCCATCCTCTGATGCTTTCCCAGGCCATCAGCAGTGAGCTGGATCGGAAAGGGAACAGCCAGGACTCAACCCAGAGCCTGCACAGGATGCTGGTGCCGCAGGCAGAAGGTTAACCACAGTGCTGGCCCCTGTGACTAAAGGTTTTTTTTTTTTTTAAAGGTTCTTAGTATATAGAAGCAGTTATTATTCCCTAATTAGATGCAAAGGATTTATAGTCCTTGCTCATACTAAGCCATGGGATCCACCAGGGAATGTTTTGCCTCTTGGCTTTAAAAAAAAAAATCTCTTTAATCCTACCATTCTTATCATTTCCTAAGTAGGCTCCTGCACTCATGCAGGAAATCCCTGAAGGTCCTGGCTCCTGGATGCAGTCTGGCCCTGCTCTGGCTACTGTGGAGTGAACCAGCAGATGAAACATCTCTCTCAGACCTGGGAAGGAATTAGTGGGCTCCTCCATCTTGGGTTACCACTACCACGGGAGGGCATGAATACTAGGACAGGGGCTGGGGTGGCTAGACAGAGAGACACTCAACAACATCCGTGAGGGCTGGATAGTTGAGCTGGTTAGCTGGAACTAAGCTTCAATACCCATCGACATGTACGAGAGCCAAATGGGATATGGGACAGACTAGACTAGTCTGCCACACATACTGGCAAACTAGGGTAGGGGGCGGGCCTGGTGGGGTCTATTGTGGGTCGCTCCAACTAGGCTGCAGCCGGTTTGTGTGAGGGCCGAGTATGTGCTGGGTAGAACCAGGCTGGACTGCAACACCCATTGGTTCCAGTGGAAGTCAGGGCTGAAAACAGAACCAACCCAGCAATTGCAACCAGGGCCATGGACTGAGCCGTGCCCTGTACTTGCTAGTACATACAAGAATCTGGTCTGGGAACATCTCAAAGTTTCTTTGGGGATCTCCCCAATCAAACTACTGAACTCAGAACCCTAACCAAGAAAAGACAGAAGACAGAAAAGTCAATCAACCACCTCAGGTATATGATGGCAGCAAAATACTGAGCAAATGGAGACTCTGAGATGGACTATGCCAATCAATGGATTCTCTAATGACCTCATCGTGCTTGGAGTGGTGAGATTGGCAGCGATTCATAACTGGTGAACTATCAAAACCACTTGAGCAAGTATCTCAGAGCATGCCACACATCCGGGACGTGGGGTGGGTGGGAGACTGGGTGGGGCTTCTCCCTCAATATCCCCCTTTATCCCAGATACATGAAGGAAACAATGTGGAAATAACAGTCTTACCCAGGTTCCTGTAGCCCTTGAATCTTCTTACCCTAATTAACTATGTAAAGATTGTCAAAAATAAATTAAAAAAAGAAACATCTCTCTCTCCTTCCCCTCTCTCTTTGTAACTCTGCCTTTTGAATAGAAGGAAGAGAGGGAAGGAGAGAAGAGATGGAAAGAGAGGCAGAAACAAGTGACTTCATCTACCTCCCCCGGGGCTGATTCCCACCACGCTGGCAGAAGGGAGGGCTTCCTCTTAGAACTGGAGCCTGGGAACGCCAGTAGCCACCCAGGGAGCCACACAGGCTGCGACAAACAAGCGGCTGATCCAGGCCGCGAGTGCGCACACTCACACGGCATGGCTGGCCATTCGGTGCGTTTGAGAGCATCAACAACAGGGGCTCCTGGGCTCGGAGTGATGGCTCAGTGGCTAAATCCTCACCTTGCAGGTTCTGGGATCCCATAGGGGTGCCGGTTCATATCCCTGCTGCTCCACTTGCATTCCAGCTCCCGGCTTGAAGCCAGGGAAAACAACAAAGGATGGTCCAAAGCCCTGGAACCCTGCACCCATATGGGAGACCTGGACAAAGTTCCTGACTCCTGGCTTCAGATCAGCTCAGCTCCGGCCATTGTGGCTATTTGGGGAGTGAACCAGCAGATGGGAGATCTGTCTCTCCTTCTCTCTGTAAATCTGCCTTTCCAATAAAAATAAATGCATTTTTTAAAAAAAGGAGAAGAAAGAAGAGGAGGAGGAGGGGGAGGAAGAAGAGAAAAAGGAGGAGGAAGAAGGAGGAAGATGAGAAGAAAAGGTCTCCTTTTTAGCCTGCCCGCCTGGCATCCAATCTGTACCTGCGGAAACCGATAGGAAAGAGCCAGGTACCAGTGAGGAGCCGAGGGGCGCGGCCCGGCCAGAGGCACACAGCACAGGAGAGCAGATGAGCGGGAACAATAGGAGAAGCACGGAGCCACAAACCTTCACCGGAAACCCCCCGACCACTGCGAGGGGAGCCCACCTGATGGTTTTATCTTCGGAGGCCTGCAGCACATACGGTTCCTGCGGGACCCAGCACAGGTGTGTGACCTGGAAATGCAAACTTTTCAAAACTCCTCCACACCCATTCATTCCTGTGCTGTAATTCCTGTTAGCCACACTAAATTCCACCACTCTGCCTCTTAGGAATTCAGAACTGCTAATTTTGACTTAGAGGTATTTCACGTTTCCTGGCTGTCAATCAATCCTGCTATGCCCTGAAAGCAAAGGAAGCAGCTGGGCCAGATTTGAGTCTCAACATACAGGCAGGTTGGGCCCGATGCAATGGCTCAATGGCTAAATCCTCACCCATATGGGATCCCATATAGGCACCAGTTCATGTCCCAGTTGCTCCACTCCCCTTCCAGCTCCTTGCTAATGGCCTGGGAAAGCAGTTTAGAGTATGACCCAAAGCTTTGGCACTCTGAACTCACATGGGAGACCCTGAAGAAGCTCCTAGCTTCAGATCAGCTCAGCTCTGGTTGTGTGGCCATTTGGAAAGTGAAACAGTGATTAGATTTTTCTGTCTCTCCTTCTCTGTAAATCTGATCTGCCTTTCCAATAAAAATAAATAAATTTAAAAATACACAGGCAGGCACTCTGTGAGTCCCTGCAGTCCCAGCCATGGGAATTGCATATGGGATCCTAGCGCATTCAAAGCGAGAATTTTAGCTGCTAGGCCACAGCGCCGGGCCCTAAAATGTTCTTTTCTCCCAACAACCTCCACAAACATGGAAAGCATGGAGGCAAGCACATCTTGCAAGGGACAGTTGTCTTTGCAATTAAAAAATATGAGTTTGGGGCCCGGAGTTATGGCATAGTGGTTTAGGTCCTCACCTTGCATGTGCTGAGATTCCATTTGGGCGCTGGTTCTAATCCCAGTGGCCCTGCTTCCCATCCAGCTCCCTGCTTGTGGCCTGGGAAAGCAGTCAAGGACAACCCAAAGCCTTGGGACCCTGCATCCGTGAGGGATATCTGGAAGAGGCTCCTGGCTTTGGATCAGCTCAGCGCCAGCCATTGCGGCCACTTAGGGAGTGAACCATCGGACAGAAGATCTTCCTCACTGTCCTTCCTCCACCTCTGTATATCTGACTTTCCAATAAAAATAAATAAATCTTAAAAAAAAGAAGAAGAAAACATGAGTTTCTTTTTTTTTTTAAAGATTTATTTTATTTTTATTGGAAGCAGGGAAACAGGGCTGCCGGGATTAGAACCAGCGCCCATATGGGATCCCGGGCGTGCAAGGCGAGGACCTTAACCACTGTGCCACTGCGCCACTGTGCCACTGTGCCACTGCACCACCGCGCCAGGCCTGAAAACATGAGTTTGAATCCAATCTGACAACCCCAAAAGGAACAGTCACTGTGCATCAGGTGTAGGCGGGTGTTTCACGTGTGATCTCATTTCATCCTTTGAACTTTATCAGATGATACAGTTTTCCCCATTTACAAATGCAAACTCAGCAACTTCCAGAACTTAAGATATTTTTCTCGAGTTATGCAGCTAAAAGTGACATAGCCATGATTTGATGCCAGGTACGACTGACCCCAGAAGCCATGCAATCTGAATACTAATCAGCTACGAGAAAATTCCAGGTTTTCCAAAACAGAATTAATTACAAACAGAGCAAAATGTAACATTAGTTCTCTGCCTGATGTCACATCATAAAAAAAAAAAAAAACCACAATTAGCATTAGCTGTGAGCCCCTGGAAGATAGAAATTGTGGCCTGGGCCACTAACCCTGTTACAGCACAGTGGCTGGCCCACAGAAGTGGAATGACTGCATGCTACAGGATTAAATAGATTGCAATGTGGCCCAGTGGCACTGTTCTCTGCAGATGGCTCAGGATCTGCTGATGGGCTAGCCCAGCAACTCTGAGACCAGGGTCTCCCAGATGGTTGGGGCAGGAAGTGGACAGCAATTAGTCTCCTAGGCTCTGATACCTGGTTGTGGGTCACCAGACCTCTCCCCCAAACCCTTTCTCTCCCTTTCTCAGGCTCTCTCCTGCTGCCCTGCCCCCATGCCAGGCTTGAGGTCCTACCAGATTCCTGGAGACAGACACTCTCTCCACACACTGTCCGGTCCCCACATCCCACAGAAGCAGCGTGTTGTCTCGAGAGCCCGTGCACAGCCGTGCTGAGTCTGGAAAGAACAGCAAGAACTCAGCCTGAGATGGGCATACCTGGGGCCGCCGGGCCAGTATGAAACCGCTGGGAGGAAATGTTCTTTACCTGGACTCACAGCCAAGCCGGTGACCACCATGGCATGGCCAGACAGCTGCTGCTTGGGCCGAGAGGAACTACGTAGATCCCACATCATCACCATCTTGTCTCGCGAGGCGCTGAAGAACTGGCTCGATCTGGGAATGCAGGCTACCTGCTCAGGGAAAACCAAAACCAAACCACTGTGCCTGTCTGATGAAACTTAAGAACGGAAAACAATGGATTTGCCTATCTTATATCACAAATGCACATTACAAAAAAATTATTGGCAAGGCAGATAGAGGGAGAGAAAAAGCACAGAGATACAGAGGCAGGAAGAGAGAGCTGCCCACCAGCTCACTTTCAAAATGTCCCATAAGCTGGGAGCCAGGACCCAATTACTAGGGTCAACACCTGCTGCCTCGCAGGGTCTGCATCGATAGGAAGCTGGAATCAGGTGTGGAGCCAGAACTCAAACCTGGTATTTCAGTAAGGGATTCAGGTACCTTGCATCTGACCTGCTAGCCCAAACATTTCCACAGCCATTCCCACTTTAAAAAATAACACCTACATTCAAAATCCACGAATGGGAAGTCTGTGCAGTTCAAGTTTCTCGACTTTTCTCTTGTTGTGCTATTAAAATTTCTTTAAATGGTTATTTATTTTACTTGAAAGCCATAGAGAGAGAGATTCCATCTATTGATTCACTCCCTAAATGGCCACAGCAGCCAGAGTTGGGTCGGTTTGAAGCTGGCAGCTAGAAGCTTCTTCTGAGTTTCCTACATGGATATAATGGCCCAAGGCCTTTGGCCATCCTATGCTTTTTCCCAGGCCACTGGCAGGGAGCTGGGTTGAAACTGCAGCAGCCAGGATTCAAACTAGTGCTACATGGAATGCCATGCTATGCTACAGCACCAGTACCTATTCTCTTCATATAGTAGATTCCTTCCCATCTTTTAGGTAGCAGATTCCTCCCTCAAGCATCTTATATCCATAGGAATGGGAATCTTTCCTTCTGAGCTCTGTATGAGTGATGCCTTTTGTCACCTCATTATCACCACACTCAAAATGGGAACAGTGTACAAAAGTTTCATGGAAAAGGCACATTAGCTTTAAACCCCATTTTCCATGAACTTTTCATAGTACCCTCATATAAATCATTTCCACATACCTTGTTTCATTGATAATAAAATCATCTTGGAGTATACTTCTTTTACGTGCTATTGTCAATCAATTTATCTCATCTTTAAAGAGATACTATTCTTTTTTAATATGTCTCACTAATCATTCAGTAATCTATTTCTACTTTACTGACAGATTCTACAGAAATGAATGGTAGATCTTCTGACCTCCTAAATGCTCATGCTTTTCTCCCTTTGATCAATTAATACAGATAATCTTTTTTTTAAAACCAATTTCCTAATATTAGCTCATTTCAGCATTTCCAGGATAAGCTGAACTAATTTTGCCACAATATCCCTTAAGCAAAATGGCAGATTCCTTTCGCTATTGCTTCACTACAGGGCAAGTAGTATACCCATTATTCCTTTCCTATTCTCATCCAATAATAATACCTATGTATTGTTGGGTGGGTAATGTTCTAACATGTAAATTCCAATTTTTCAGCCCCCTTGAAAACAGGGCTGATCCATGAGATATAAATGAAATTAATAGTAATAGTAATAATAATAACAATAACAATTTCACAATTACCTTAGTGATTTCACGTTCATGTCCTTGGAACCTTCTCACCACATTTCCAGTTTTCCAATTATAGGCCACAACTGTCTGGGGAGAGTGAGCAGAAACTTCGTTTAATCACTCAAGCTTCACTTGAAACTAGCCTTTACTCATTCATTAGCCGTCCCCTTCTTGCTTTGTTTTGTTTTTAAGATGCTTTTTCTCTATTTAAAAGGGAGAGTTAGAGACAGACAGAGAAAGATATCTTCCATCTGCTGGTTGACTCTCCATCTGTTGGTTGTCTCTGCAAACGGCTGCAACAGCAAAGGCTGTGTCAGAGCAAAGCCAGGATCTCAGATTCCAGAGTCTCCCATTTGAGTGACAGGGGCCTGAGGACTTGGGCCATATCTCATTGCTTTCCCAGGCACATTAGTAAGGAGCTAGATTGGAAGTGCAGCAGTCAAGTCTAGAACTGGTGCCCATATGGGATGCCAGCACTATAGGTGGTGGCTTGATTTACTTTGCCACAAAAACCCCCACTCCCCCACCCTGCCCCTACTTCTTAATTTCTTCCTTTTATAACTAATCCCTCTCTGTTGAGTGACTTTCTTCCAGCATTACAGAAGCCCTTGACCACCCCCTCCAAACCTTAGTGATGGGTCTGTGCTAGCACTCCTTAGCGAGAACTGATTCAGTTTGAGGTTTTGGCTATGGATGCTAGGGAGAGATTTCCATGAGGGATTAGATCATTTCCTCCATATCATACTGCATTTCCTTTTCTTTTAACCTTTTGTTTAGTTGGAAGGCAAAGAGACAGACATATCCCTCCTGCTGGCTCCCTCCCCATGTGCTGGCACAGCCACGGCTAGGCCAGGCAAAAGCTGGCAGCACACAACTCAATTCAGGTCTCCAAGGGGGTTGCAACCACCTGAGCCTTCACCTTCCAGGGAGTTCACTAGCAAGAAGCTGGAATGGAGAATGGAGTCAAGACTTAACCGCCCCACTCCCAAAAAAAAATTTTAAAAAGACTCAAACTCCAACATGGGTTGTGGGCTTCCCAAGCACACACCCTAGATTGTACTTTTTCAACTGTCTTTCAAATGGTCATTTTTACTTTGAAGTGTACAGTATTGCTAAATAGATTCATGCTGTTATGAAATAAGAAAAAAAAAAAACTCATCCATATTGGCAACTGCCAAACAGAATCTTTGCTAAATGATCCCCTTTTAATCATGTGTATACTTAAATACTTTATTATAAGCAATTCTCCCTCTAAACTGGATTTTATTTTATTTTTTCTATTATTATAACTTTTCTTGATACAGTTCCTTAGGCTCAGGGATTTCCACTTCCACCCTCACTGAACAGGATTAAAAAAAAAAAACCTTTCCTGCTGCTCTCTTTGGTTCATTGCCAGAGTTTGGAGTATCGATCAAAATGGGCCTGGAGCCTGTTGTGCTTGACCTCGTTAAAAACCAGCTTCCTAATCCACAATATGGGGAGGATAATCCTTACCCCGTCTACCCCTCACAGAGACGAAAGCAGCTCATGTAACTAAAAAGGTTTACATCGAAGAGGGTGAGGCTGACAACTAAACAACCTCTGAGTCTTGATCTCAGAGGTGCTAACTGTGAAAACATGGGCAGGACAGAACAACTGAAATACGTTATGCTAGCAGAATTTGGAGATTGTGAAAGCCAAATGAAAATGAGAGGCATTATTAATATTAACCACTACAAAAGGGATCAGTGTGCTTACTAGTGAGTACTGTGACAGATCCAAATATTCAGGACAAAATCAATTGTATTCAAACAACAACATACGAAGGGCAGAAACACAGAAGGGAAGAATCATGAGTCACGCTAGTTGGAGATATTTGTCAAAGGGGCTGGCATAGAAGAGGCCAGAAAATGCCTGTTATGGACAAATAACTTCTGTGTCTTCACGCAGGTGTGAAAGCGGAATAGCTGCAATAATCATGCTTGCCATTGTAAAACGCATGTGCGTGGTCTGGCCCAGTGCTTGGGCTCCTCCCTATGGCTTTTCAGATAATCCACACAACTGTCATTGTCACTAAGGTTGGTATTACTATTCCCACTTAATAGGTGAGGAGACCGAAGCCCAAAGAAACAAAAACAAACAAACAACAACAAAAAAGCCTGTAAACAGAAAAAAAAAATAAAGCAGGATTATAAACTCATCAGTCCTGCTGTGAGAAGCAAAGCCCAGGCCTCCTCCCGGCCCTGCTCTGGTCTCCCACAAACTCCACCTTATCTTTTCCTCCGGAGACGCACACGTCAGAGCTCAGAGCAGCAACGGCAGTGACGGCGGCATCCGCGTGAGCAGGGCTATAATCTGGAAATGCCCTTGCCGGGCTTCTCTCTTCTACAATCCCATCAGGCGTGCTAGAGACAGAAGAGGAGATGAGATGACACGGGAGTGGGACAGGGGAAAAAGCACAGGAGGGAGAGAGCAGCCTAAGCTAGAGGTAAAAGGAGTAGAGAAAGGAGATTGACATTGCCAGAAATGGTGTTCTTTTCTTGGAAGATGCTCAGAATGACTGGATGACAGCAGCCTGATGAAGGGCAATCGTGAAGCCAGGAGTCTGTGTGTGCACTAGAGGCTTACCCTCAGCTGCACAGGCCCTCTGAGTGGCGGAGCAGATACAGGCCACGCAGCTGATGGGAAGTCATGGACACTCCATTGGGCCTTCCTCTTCTTTAGTGCAAGGTCAGAACAGGGCATGATAAGACCAGGCAGCCTGGGGTGTGAGTGTTGGGGGGCGGGGTGGTGTGGGCAGCACCTGCTGTACCTGTATTTATTGTAAGTGCTGTGTCTCAGTTTGCTTTGCAGTTTCCCCATCACGGCACAGAACCCACGGACAACCTTCCAAAGAGGACTCCCTTGCAGTTGGTGCCTGAGTAACAGCATCCCTTGTGGCTGCTGAAAACAGTGGGCCCTGTTCAGGAAAAAAAAATAATATGCAATGTTAATTTTGGGAGGCACAGTAGTGGTACTTTAGGTATATTTTTAAAATAAATTTCTTGGTTCCTTCCGGCGCGAACCATGCCGGATTCCCAGCCACAGCTTCCGCCGCTTGCGGCGGAGGCGGGGACGCCGGCATCCCCCTAGCCAGGGGGCAACTAAGCCCCCTCGCGAGTAAGTACCCGCGAGGGCTGGCGAGGGAGCTGGGGTTCAAAACCTGGCTCCCCTCTACCCCCGTCAGCTTTGGGCTGACGGCAGGGTAGGCTGGGCGGTTCGAATGTCCGGGCAGGGGCGGGGTTAAACTCCCATTGGGGGTGGCGCTTCATGGGAATGACCCTTCCGGTTGAGAGGCGGGGGCAGAGACCCAGGCCTTGGGCGGCCAGTGCACCAAGTGGTGCCAGGCTCTGCCTGCTGGCCGCCCAGCGGCGAGCTCTGGGGTTTTGAGGATATGAAATAGGTGCTCTGGGACACCCAAAAGTAAGACCAGCGGTAGTGTAGGTGAGACACTAATTTCTGGTGATTCCCAGGAATCGGGACATGAAACCTTAATGAAAGTGCGGGACTGAGAGATGAATGTTCGGACTAAGCAAACCTTAGCCCACTAGTATGACTGGAACACAGGGTGCAACACAGGACATGCCCGGCTTGGATTTGGCTCCAACTGGTTCACATTAAGCACAAAGTTGAGCCACAGAGTCTAAGGCAGAGGTCATGACAGGTGGACGGGGCTGCGGCAGGGTCTGGATACAGCTATCCTCTCCCTTGGCACAAATGTGGATTGGGAAAAGAGGTACCGGGCCGGGCCAGACACTAACACGTTCTGGTGCTCTGGAGTACCAGGGTGGATGTGGGGCGGACTAGGCTAGGTCCCAACCTCAACTTAGCCATGTACAAGCCATATGGGGGCATGGATGACCATGGCCAAGCTGCAACACTCTACAGCAAGAACCAGAACGGGATGATGGCCAGTTAGGAAAGACCACTGTTCCTACAAGGACAAGAGGCGAACTGGCACATGGACCCACTGACATGCGCGAAACCTGGCACATGGAGGGGTTCTGATGGAGGAGCCCAGGCAACTCCTCTGGCAAGACACAGACCCTGCAGGTCAGCACAAGGAACTTGCAAGGCAACAGCCAAGAGGTCATTGAAAGTGTCCCACTGGCATGCATTTGGCTTGGGTCGGGGGCAGACCAGGCTGAATCTGTTCATGTCATCCACTGGTAAATCTGACCGCCAGAACAGAGTGTGGGTCGAACCAGGTCCGGTCGTAACAAAAGTAACACGCAGGCTGGAATGCCAAGGTGAGGTAGCCTGAGCCGGATGCAGCCGCAGCACCCAACCAACACAAGTGAGAACCAGGAAGGGAGGCGGCAGAGCTGACAGGAGAAAAAGGGGAGGCTCCCTAGCTGAACAGCAAGTTACACTGAGGAGCGGGAGCTGGGTGGGGGGTAGACTAGACCAGGCAGGGACACAGCGCCTGTGCACCTCATGGGGACCAGATTGGGTGATAACCAGGCTAGGCTGACCAATCCCATTGGAGTAAGCTACAACCAGAGTTGGTGAGGGTTGTCGGGCTTAGTTGTAGCAACAGAAGGGTAACGGGGACAGACTGGGCTAGTATGCCATATATACTGGCAAGCCAGGGTAGGAGGTGGGCCTGGTTGAGGCTACTGTGGGCCGCCCTGACTGGGCTGCAACTCCTACTAGTTCGTGCGAGGGACAAATGCGTCCAGGGTGGAACCAGGCGGGACTGTAAGAAGACACGGGTGGAGACAGAACCGGCCCAGCAACTGCAGCCGCCAGCTGTCCGGGGCAGTGGACTGTGACGGACCCTATGCTACTAAAACAGCAGGAATCTGGACTGGGAATACCTCAAAATTTCTTCGAGGATCTTCCCATTCGAGACACCGGACTCGGAGTCCTAACCAGGGAAAGACAGGACAAATCAAGCAACAACCTCAGCCATCTGATGGCAGCAGAGACTGGGCAAATGGAGACCCTAGACGGGACTGTGTCAATCAACGAACTCTTCAATGACCACATCATGATTGGGGTGGCGAGACAGGCAACGACCCATGGATAGTGAACTATTGGAACCACTTGATCGAGTATCTCGAAGCGCACCCCACTCCCGGGACTTGGGGTGGGCGGGAGATTGGGTGGGGCTTCTTCCTCTATATCCCCCTTTAGACCTTGACCCTTTTTTACCCCAATTAAATTTGTAAGGATTGTCAAAATTAAATAAAAAAAAAAAAAAAAGAAAACAGCGTATTAAAAAAAAAAAAAAATAAAATAAAATAAAATAAATTTCTTTTTAACCAAAAGCTACTTGTGAGCATTTGTTTTTTTCTTCTCTCTCTCTGTGTTATTCTCTGACTCTGGGATTGTGGCCTCCAATAACACATCAACAGACAAACAGAGAATTAATTTTAACAAAGACAACTGAGAAGCTCCCGGATAGGTTAAACACAGAACTGCCACACAATTCTACTGCTGGGTACACAGCCAAAAGGACTACAAACAAGTATTCACACGAAACTTGGTACACAGATGTTCCTGATGTCACAATCTCGAATAGCTAAAACTCAACTGCCTATCAATGCACAAGCTGTGAGCTATCTACACAATGGAGTATTAATCAGGGATGGAGTAGTGGTACAGGCTGCCACATGGTAGACCTTGAAAGCAACACATGGAGCCACAGAAGGCTAGTCACAGGAGGCCCCTCGCTGCGTAGTGCCACGGATAGGAAGGGTCCTGGTTGGTAGATCTACAGAGACAGAAAGGAGAGAAGTGCCAGGCAAGAGCTGGGGTGAGGACAGGCTGAGGAGTGACTGCTCAATAGGTACAGACATTGCCTTCGGGATTGATGGAAATGTTGTGCAACAAGACAGTAGTCATGGTTAAACAACGGTGTCCGTAATGGTAAATCTTACGTGCCCTCTACCACAATAAAATGCATGTAAGTGACACACAAAATAGTACACGCTGGTGAAGCTTCCTAAAAAAAAGAATAAACTCGGGTATTCTAAAAGCTAACAGCCTTCTTTGCTTGCTCGATTATCTTTAGGCACTTTCATTGTGGAACTTCTTTAAACCAGCACACCAAGCTCATGAGGTGATTCGGCAAAAAGAACAAGACACTAGGCATAATGACAATATATGAGAGGATGTAAGTCATGCCCAGGACTGGCAGTTCTCCGAGTGAGAGCTGAAGACTGGGGGACTCCTTGGAGCTTTCAGGGAGCACAGGAGGTCTTCTCTCTCCAGCTCCATCTCTTCTGAAGACCTGGTTTTCAGGCCTTGTGCAATAGCCCAGTGGCTTAATCCTCACCTTGCATCCATTGGGATCCCATGTGGGTGCTGGTTTGTATTCCAGCTGCTCCACTTCCCAGCCAGCTCCCTGCTTGTAGCCTGGGTAAGCAGTAGAGAATGGCCCCAAACTTGGGACCCTGCACCTGCCTGGGAGACCCAAAAGAGGCTCCTGGCTCCTGACTTTGGATTGGCTCAGCTTCAGCTATTGCAGTCACTTGGAAAATGAACCAGCAGACAGAAGATTGTTCTATGTCTCCTTCTCCTTGTAAATTTACCTTTTCAATAAAAAAAGATAAATTTTTTAAAAAAAAAAAAGAAGAAAGGAAGGAATGAATGAAAGAAGCAAGAAGCGGGGGTGCTGGCATGGTAGCCAAAGTCCTCACCTTACATGTACCAGGATCCCATATGGGCATCGATTCAATTTCCTAGTGGCCTGGATTCCCACCCAGCTCCATGACTGTGATCTGGGAAAGCAGTCGGCTGATTCACTCCCCGGGTGGCTGCAATGGCTGAAGCTGAGCAGATCCAAAGCCAGGGGTCAGGAGCTTCTTCTGTATCTCACACATAGTTGTACGATTCCAAGGCTTTGGACCATTCTCCACTGTTTTCCCAGGCAATAGGAAGGGAGATGGATCATAAATGGATCAGCCAAGATATGGACCAGCACCCATTTGAGATCCCAGTGCATGGGAGGTGAGGACTTTAGCTACTAGGTTACCATGCTGGGTCCTCACCAATTGTTTTTTCTTTTAGAGATTTATTTATCATTATATGTATTGGAAAGTCAGATACACAGAGAGGAGGACAGACAGAGAGGAAAATCTTCCATCCACTGACTCACTCTCCAGGTGGCTGCAATGACAATCTGAAGCCAGAAGCTTCTTCTGGGTCTCCCACACAGGTGCAGGGTCCCAAGGCTTTGGGCTATCCTTGACTGCTTTCCCAGGTTATGAGCAGACAGCTAGACGGGAAATGGAGCAGCTGGGACACAAACCAGTGCCCATATGAGATCCCGGTGCTTGCAAGGTGATTATTTATTTACCCATTGAGCCATCCTGGCGAACCTGAAAAATTTTTTTTAATGAAATGATCAGCTTAGCTCTGCGAAGAATGCTTTGCACAGATAATAGCAGCTAAAACTCCCCAAATAAGCACTCTCGTTCTTACCCTTACTATCAAAGACTAATTCTTCCAGGAAAATTCAGCCTCTATTTTCAAAGATTGCCAGAATTGATCTCATGACAAGAGGAGGGAACCGGCACATATGCTCAATGCAGTAAAACACTACATTTAGCATCTAGACGCTGGGCAATCACTCCAGTTCTGCCTCATCTTGGGGTACCGGTCAGTGGTTCTATTCCCCATCCTGGGCCTCCATCTCACCTTCTGGAATGTTAGGATGCTGGACTACATGTTTCCTAGTAGAATAGGTGTCCCATCAGAAAAAGGACCCTTGCCAGTATTCATTTGCCTGCCCTGAGTGACCTGCAGAGTTCAACAGAGATACTTGTGGGGCTAAGGTCCCTTCTAGAGTGGCCACTCTTGGTACAATTCTCTGATAGGTCACAGAAGATGTACTGAGAAGGAAAAAATTGCAGAGCAGTTCCAAAAAGTTTAAGATACAGTGTTATTTGTAGACAGAGGGTATGGGGCTTCCTATCTAC